ACCAAGTGATCATCTTCACTAACTGAACAATGATGTTCATTGTCGTACTGACATTTTTTGACGTTTTTATAAACGAAAAATAACTCAACAAACCTTGTCTGGTTGTTGGAATTGACATATGGCAGATAAAAAGGAATATTTTTGAAAATATCGATATTAATGTGTTTGTTTTCAGGAAATTATTAAATGTAATAGTGAAGATATTGACTTCATATTCTAGGGTTGTGAAGTATTTGTCAGGAGCTTCAAAATGATGTGTCACAAGATCCCCCTTTCTATTTAATTTTTTTCCCAGATGGCGCCCAGTCATGCATTCATTTCATTATCCCAAATTTCAATCTTTTGAGTTGACCTGTTCTGTATATACATAATATTTCAGGGGGAATTGAAGCAATGACATACATAAAGAACAAATGTTTCATCAGATCCAGATCTTTCCTATCCTGACATGGAATTGCTTTTTCTTGCTGGATCATTTAATACCGATTATGGTGTTACTTATAGAACACTTTTAAATATACCGCCTACTATGTATAATGCAATTTGGAGGCCCTTAGAAGGAAAGCCGGTATATCAAGTAAGTAGAAAATCTTTTTGCCAAGAAAAGTCGAGAGTTCATTATTTACTTAATTTTGTTTTTTGTTTTGGTTTGTTAAAGATGCCCGTTTACTGCTGTAGTAATTCAGGTGTGTAGATTTCTCATGCTTTCTCACTTGATTCCATTTTTACTTGAGGATTTTCCAATAACATTAAATATCGTCAATATTACTGTTACTATGATGGTTTTCACAACATGTTATTATAAATTGAAGATAGACGGGAATTGTGATGCAGTCTCATAAAATATTAGATTTTGAATCCAAAAAATTAAAATCTGAATATCAGTTGGGAATTTTCATCGTCCTATTGGGACAATCGTTCGATCATCCTGTTTAAACGTAGTGCAACCAAATTCAATATTTGACAGTTCAATTGACCAATAGAATTCAAGAAATTAATTTCAATCGATGAATATGAGAAATTGGCAATAAAAATGTAAAGAAAGAGAAATTGGATAGTAATCAAATTAGAACAGCAATTAAATAACAGAATGAAAATAAATAAGAAGTAATTTTCAAATTATTTGAAATAATAACAACATTGAAGAAGTTTGACGTTCAACTATTTCAGTACATGAAATGATGCTTCAACAATTTCAAGAGGAAAGAGGATACCAAAGACTGAATTAGTAAATAAAATAACAATCTTAGAATTTCAAACTTTAGATTGATGTCAATAGTATTTTCCAAGACTCAGTAATTAGTTTGCAATAAATTGATATTACTGTAGATTTTTCCCAACAACAAACCGTTATTTTAACACCTCGACACGTGTTTCGATCACCAAGTGATCATCTTGAAGAGGAAGGAAGAACTGTGTAGTTCAGAATTTTTGTTGATAAGAGAAGCCAGAAGGTTTTTAAAAAGGAGGAAGGTTGTAGATACTAAAGTTGTGTAATGATTATTCAAGCTATAAATCCATAATTTTTTCAAAACTGTATAAGAGAAAGTAAAATAATGATTATAAACTGCTATTGGAGAGAGTAAGAAGATAATTACCTTATATTTATTCATAAGAACACATTTCTTGGAGAAAGAAATTGATCCAGGTGAATTACAAAAAATGGCGGATTCCGGACAGGAATATCATGAAGAGAACTTATGAACTTCACACCGAACTACACAGGTAAAGGGGCTTTTTATCGCTTATCAATTGTTGCAACGTACTTCGAAACACATATATGCATATATTCCGTGTGAAATCATGAACAATTTTCAAATTCAATTCAATAATAACCAGAACTAATATGTAGTGCGATTTAATGAAACCCTTTGCATAAACACTAAACCAGTGACCTAAATCATATTATATTGAAATCAAGAACAAGTAAAGTAGTTCAAAACGAACAAAATAAAATTGTGAGATTGCAAAAAATCTTTCTAAACAGAAAGCTGTTATTGTAAAAAACTTTGTTTAAATTTGTTAATTTATGTTGAAAATTTGCTTAATCGATGAATGTCATCTTGTTCATTTATTCATTCATTTATTTTCTTATAATTATTGATTTTTTTCAAATTGGGTAAAAGTTATAGTTTTTCAATTTTAGTAAATTTAATGATTGTTGAATTCTATAACATTATAAACAACAGAACTGATTACCAAAGAATTCTCCCTGAGATGCAAAGAAATGCTCCACAAGGTGAAAAGGAAGAGTATAAACTATGTGTAAGAATTATTTAGTAACAAAATTGAAATTCATAAAACCATAATAAAAAAGAACCCTGAGATTATTAGGATACAATTATTATAACTATAAAAAACAAATATCACAACAAAAATTATCACCACCTCGTATCGTAATAGTATGTATAAATGTTTACCGTGAATTCTTCGAATAAAATTTTTGAAAATACAATGATCTATGATTCTTAACGGTATCTATGTCTGCGCTTGTAAGTTTGTGTCTGGTGTGAACATACTTCTTTTTATGTGAATATTGGAATTATTGATGGATATGGAGATACCAGCATATAAAACTACCCATTAAGGCGATGTAGGTTCAAATTGTAGTACAAACTATCAGACAAGACTATAACCAGGATAAATTCGGCGCAAGCATTTTCCACTTATAGAAGCATTTATTCAACAGTTTGAACCGCAACGTTTCAGACCAATAGATAAATTTCTGTGTGGTTTGACCAGTTAATATCACTGTGCCACTAAGTGGAAGTTTCATGGTTTTTCCAGTGTAATTTTGTGAAAACAGTTAAAATAATGTTAATTTCATACATAATGTGTAACTTTTCACAAATCAAAAGTGTTTCAGATCATTGAAACATTGGCATATTGGTCTATCCCTCACTAACACTTTCCAATCTTGCAGTTGAAAATAATAATTTTCCTGAAGATATCACGAGTTTGTCCAATTTTTGAGTCGTGAGATCCATCTGATATTCGGAATTATCGTCCTATCTCAATCCCATCGAACTTTGCTAAACTTCTCGAAACTGTCATCTATAATCGCTAAATTTGCTAAAGCATTTGATCGGCTTGATCACATAATCCTTCCACAAAAACTCCACTAATTTTGTTTTCATAATTCAGCAGTACTTTTCATCAAATCCTACTTACTTCAACGCGAACAGTTTGTATCTTATAACGGCTATGATTCTTTCAATTACAATCCTTCATCTGGAGTACCTTAGGGGTCGAATCTCGGACCACTTCTGTTTTTATTATTTATTAATGACCTCAGTAATTATGTTGATTGTAGTAAGCTATTTTTTGCAGATGATTTAAAAATATATTCACATGTCGAAACTATCGAAGACTGTAATACATATACAGAGTTTAGAAAAATGTCAGTCATCGAGTATAATTATCGAGTAGATACCATTTCACTGTCACCAAGTAACTCAATTAAAGATCTTGGTGTATATTTTGATCAAAATTTTTCTTTTTCCAACCACATTAGATCGAAAGTAAGTAAAGCATCAAGAGTTTATGGCTTTATAGTTCGCAATTGTAGATTGTTTTCGAACAAATCTGCTCTATTTACTCTTTATGTAGCCTACGTGAGGTCAAAATTAGAATATGGCTGTGTCCCATGGTCTTCATTCTACAATTGCTATAATACATTAATTGAAAAAGTTCAACGTCGTTTCCGAAAGTTTATTTACTTCAAATCTTATGGTATCTATGCTGCTGGAGTTATTCAATATAAATCTCTTACCATAACATTCAATATTAAAAGTCTTGAATTACGCAGAAAACTTGCTGGAATAATTTGTCGGTATAAATTACTGCACAACAATGTGGATGCTATGAAGATGTTACCTCTTATGAATTTCTGTGTGCCTCACTTTAGAACTAGAAGTACAAAAACTTTTTACAGCCGACTGGCCAGAACCAATTAGTACCTCAAGTCACCTATCTTTAGCATTTGCAATAATTTCAATTTGATTTCAAATTTGTGTGATATCAATTTTGATTCCATAGAATATATTGTTGACACTGCATCTCAGTATTTCATGGAGAATTTTTAATTTTCTGGTATAGTTTTTTTTTTATTATTTCATTTTATTCTATTATAATTTTGTTATTCATTTTCTCAAATTGTAACTTCGTAATTATAAGGATCTACATTACTTTTTTTTAACATACTTAGTTAACCCTGTAAATGGTTTTTAACTGTTGGGTAATAAAAGATATTATTATTAGTATCAAGTCATCTATAACGGAGATAAAATACTTGGGCTTCTTCTTAGACTGCAACATGAAATAGATCAATCATATAACATTCACTAACAATTCACTTCAAAGCATTCTTTATAAAATCAAATAAGCGTATGAAAAAAATCTCACCTTATCAACGACTCAAAATTTCATATCCTTCATTAGTTGAAAGTTATTCATTGTATGGTATACTTGCCTGAAGTAGTGCCCTTAGAACATTTATTCAAACCCTTGAGTAGATTCCTCAAACTAATCCTAGATAGAAAATGTAGATACCCTTCGAATAAACTTTATTCAGAGTGAAATAGTAGATATGAGGCAACTATATTACCTGAACATCAACTTGAAATTTCACTCCATATGCCACTGGGTTCCTCTTCCATCCCACAATTAGTTTACTCGTCAGAAAGATTATCGTGTCATTCCCCACATGACAAAATCTATATGCCAGCAGTATTTTGCCTACATAGTACCAGAAGTGTACAATAACCTATCCGAAGGAATAAAACAAATAGATTCCTATGCGTTGTTCAGGAAGAGATTGAAAAAAAAAACATTCCTGATTCTCGGAGAAGGCTTATGAATGATTTTATTGAAGGAAGACAACGAATGGAAGTGTCATTAGCTTACTTGAGTGAATTTTTGATTATTTTGACTTTGAATATTTGTATAACCGTTTTTCACATTCGTTGTATATTTTACATTATTGTGTTTTATTGATGTTTTCTTGCACTATTGTACACTCGAAATACTGTGCAATGTTTTATGCCTATTTAACATGCTGACTGTTAGTTTTTTGCTGATGTTGTTCAATATTGTACTATAATTTGTATAGAACAGAAAGGACGGCATACTGAATGATGAATTCGGGTTCTGAGACATCATAACATTCATTGAGGTAAATCAATGAATGTTATGATATTTTGTTGTTAATTTGGTTATAATTGAACTGCAAGAGTACTTAATTTAAGTACTCTTGCAGTTCAAAAGTTGAGACTGTCAGGGCATATATTTTTTCAAAATGTACCCAAAAATAATCAACTCGAATATTATCATTACCATAAAGAAATACCTTGTATACTGGGATAGATAAAGTTTGCTATTTTTGTGAAATTTATTATAATGATAACGGGCTACAGTATCTCATATATGTTATAATTTTGTCCCTTATCTTGTGAGCTGAAACGAGTCTTCAATTTGCAGGTATTTCCTATGCTAGTTCATCCAAAATCCAGAGGATACATAGAATTGAGGTCTAGAGATCCATTAGATTCACCCAAATTCTATGCGAACTATCTATCTGATCCCGAAAATCACGATGTCAGAACTTTCATAGCAGCAATAAGGGAAATACAAAGGATTAGCCAAAGCCCGTCTCTACAAAGATATGGAGCTAAAATAGTTGACACTAAAATACCTGGTAAGTGCTGATGTGAGTAAAAATTATTATTTTTCATGTAGGATCTATAACATCGATATGTCGAACGGTGGTTCCAGCCTGACGGCTGAACGGTGCCGTGAATCGCAAGTTAGTATTAATTCTTAGCTGTTTCGACTTGTGGGGAAGTTTCAATACTGTTTTATATTTTAAATTTATATGCTGTACTTCAATATTTTGATATTTCCTTCCCTCATCATTTATAGATGTGGTAAATACATTTTAACTTGTTTTTAAATCTGTCCCTGACGTTTGCTGTGTCGACCGTTTTGCAATAAAAGTGTTATTATTTTCTGTATAAAGATAGAGAAGTAGAGAGTCAAAACCCTTTTTTCCATTAGATTTTCATGATATAAAAGATGATAATCAGGTATATTTTAATAAACCAACAATCCATTTACTTTGGGTACCTCATCTTCCATGGTATTCATTGACTTTGACTAATATTTTTTCTCCTCAAATCAAGTCTAATTGGGTAACTCAGCTCCTCATCAAGTTAAAAATATTACATCGTGTGATACTTAGCTATATTTGAAAACTTTGATAACTCTCTGAATTATAGAAGAATAGGAATTTTCCAAAGTATATTTCATTTTCAGGTTGTGAAGGCTACCAGTTCAATAGTGACGAATATTGGGAATGTTCGCTGAGAACCATTATTGGTAGTCTCTACCATCAAGTTGCTACTTGCAAAATGGGTCCTAAGAATAATGGAGCATCAGTAGTAGATCCTCGTTTGAAAGTTCATGGAATAAAACAGTTACGTGTGGTCGACACAGGTGTTATACCACTTCCTCTGACTGCTCATACAAATGTGCCAGCATATGCGATTGGAGAAAAAGCTGCTGATTTGATAAAATCTGATTGGTTCAACAACTGATCTCGTTAGGCACAACTATGATTTTCTATATATAGCATCAAAAACTACAATCAGAATACTGATCAATTTTATAATAATAATAATAATGATAATAAATTTCGCTTGAAGTTTCCTAATGGCAGAGGTTTATATTCAATAGATATCCGATTATATGAGTAGGCAATATGGGAAACGGAAGATCCGCGGTATTGTTAAATGTATCCTGAATCTCAAGTTAAGTTGGTGTACGTCAGTTCTAAATGATATTTTTGTTTTGAAAAGTTTTTGAAAAAATTTTGCAGATCCAGTTCGTCTGGATTCCACATTCAACCAACCCACATCCCCGAACAGATAGGGAATGTGTTCTCTTTCCTCGTACCCGTAATGAGCCTAATACATGCATTCTGGAGCTTTTGGTTTCTAAAACTGCCACTCATCAAAATTTCCGTACCATACACCACGTCTGCGTAGTTGGCACGTGAAAGAACTAAAGCATCGCAGAGTATAATTTTCTTTTTTTTATTCAGAAATGCTCTGTTGGAATATATCATTTTCAAATTTGGATAACCCCGTTTCAGAATTTGCGAAATATGTGTTTTAAAACAAAGACTGTTGTCAAGATATAGGCCCAAGTTTTTTGAAACTACTTTCATGGGAAGTTCTGTTCCATCTATTACAATATTTATGAGGCCAGAACAACGATTTCTCGCCGCTGTTCTACCAAAGAGCATAACATTAGATTTAGATGCATTAACAGGCAATATTTTGTTGACAAGGATAATAACATATCGAGATCGGTGTTAATTTGCAATAGGGCCTCGTTAATTAATTCTCGTAGAATTCCATGTACCTACAGTACCTATCGTCGGCATAACAGTGCATGGTTGCAAATTGCAGTGACCTATGAAATTGAGATGTGTATATAACCATATTCAATTATGGTGGCAATGCATTGTCCCAAATATACAGGCCGTTTTTTCGCTGTTATCATTTTAGCTGTTATCTCGGAAACGGTAGGTCCTACAAGAATGGTTGAAAAGAAAAGAAGTTGCCTTTTCAGAAACGCAAGATGATAATATTCTCAGATCAACAAGATCACCAACCGTTTCTGAGATATTTACAAAAAACTGAAAATAAGAGATTTCGTTTTTTGCTCTGCCGCCCCCATTTTCAATAATAATTAAAATGACAGATAAACTTTTTGCTTTATTTAATATTTTTCATAATCTGGTTTCGTTCATTGAAATCCATCATCAATGTATTTTTTTAAACGAACATGTATACAGCGTGACTCACGGTCGATGGTTGGTTACACGTTTCTGGAAAACGCAAAGCATGATTTTTCATTGGTGTTAATTCATATGGTTGAATTGTTTACATGTTCTGACAATGACATGTGTATAATAAATAATTTCATAAGAACTTCGTTTGAATAATCGATATTTGCATTCATTTTGGAAGATGATTCGAAATACCATCGATAACTCTTTGTAAATTACTTATAAAAGTAACCGAACCGCTATAAGCTTGATAATTCCACTGCTACCTGTATCCAAATTCTAAAAAAAATAATGTTTCTAGAAGAAGCGACTTTATTGAAAAAACTTGACGATTTAGGTATAGGGACATGATATATCATCTTGAAGCATTTTTCACCATCTTTCAATTTACAATCTTTCATCTTTCAATCAGGAGATCGTTCTGACTACTTAATCTTTCATGGACCCCCACAACGAAAAACCTAGAAGAGGAAGGTCCGGTGAACGTGGTGGTCATTCAATAGGACCATTACTTGCTATCCATTTTCCTGGCATAGTTGTATTGGGAAAAATCTCTACACCAATCTTCTGTGATGCATTAGAGCTACGTCGTGTTGGAAATACTCATATATTCTCATTAGACTAAGAGATGAATCTTCAAGAAACTCAATTAGAGTCCCTGATAAGGAGTCCAAGTATGATTCTCCGATCAGAGACGTTTTAAAATAGTGGAGGCCAATAATTTTGTTATCAAGAACACCAAGCCATACGTTAACACCATATCTCTCTTGAAAATTGGTAACTCCATGTAAATATACATTTTCTTGTCTCCAGGGATGATGTACCTATATTCCTTCTGAAACATTGGTTATTGGTAAATATACTTTAATCAGACCACAATTTTTTTTCAAAATTCCATTATTTTAGCGCAATTTTCTAATGAGCCATCTACAAAAAACTTTTCTCCTGTTGAAGCCCCTTAAACAATTTATATATTAGCATTCATCAAATCAAAACCCATAACTATTGAAATTGCTGTTGGTTTCCAAGAAAAATATCCGAGTGATATTTTTTCTGTGTGTATGTGTCACTTTATCATTATTGTGAATCTTTTTTGAACTCCACTAAAACGCCGATTTCATTATTGCCATCACATTCAGTAACCCTACATTTTCTTTTGGAGGGTTTTTCAAAAGATCCAATAATTTCGTAAACTACTTTTGAAATGTCAAAAATATCTATGATTATTTTGTCGTCGTTCAGGATACAATTCCTCATACATTGCCAGATATTTGTTAGCATTTCTCCAAACATCTCGAATGAACAAAAAGCATGTCAACTTTTTTGTCATTGGAAAAATTTATGTTTTTTCCCTAAATTTTCTCACCGAATTGACATTTACGTTCATGTATTTCAAGGCTTACTTCAAAAAAAAATTATTGCTTATCATGTTTCTTCTGAATTTCATCTATGACTTTCTTGATATATTGTTTTTATTGGTTAATTTATGGATATACTCATTTTCTGAACTATGAAACATTTAGGTAGCTACAAACGTTCCAGAGAAATTTGGAAATTATGAATGGCTTGATATTAATACAAAGATTATTGGTTCCTCTTTTTCAAGACAACCCTGACAGAAATCTATTTCGATGTCATTGAAAAACAATATTCAGGATTTCAATGAAAGACATCAGTAGTAGATTACAGCTGGTTCTAGGCCTCCCCCTCCACTATGACGTATTAATTGCTTTTTTGTTGTTGTTTAGTAACATCAAGGCGATGTGACCTTGAAGTGTCTGGTGCAATATTCCACTCTCA